TATTTTGAAACTTTTTATATTTGTTTTTAATATATAAAAACGGTAGGTATAAAATTATATTATAAAACTGTCTAATTTCATTATAAATTAAATATTGTATGTTCTTTATGTTTTTGTTTATATAAACTAGGAGAAATATAATTGTGTAAAATATTTTATGAAATTTCTTTTAGCCAATATTTCTATATAGAAATTTAACTTACATGAGGCAACGTATGTCCAGAAGCCATAAATCTCGACGAGGATTTAAAATTGATATGATATTGGAAAAATTAATGTTGAAAAATAATCAAGAAGAAAACCCAGGTGTTCGTGGATATATGACTCTTACTTTTCTAGGTTTTTATGATAAAAAAGGTAACCATATGTACAACATTTTTTGTTTAATTTTCTATGTTAAAAATAATTGTATTTAAGATTTTATTATAATATATCTTTATAATGATATTAATTACAGTTGAAACACCTCAAGATCCTGTAAAAGTGGAAACATTGTTATTGAAAATATGTCATAAGAAACGAAAAGATGTGAGTTCACCAATTATGCAGGCAAGTTGATTTTTATGAATTATATTAACATAATAACATAACATTAAACATTGAATTGAAATATATGAAAAATATTAAAAATTACTATTAATTGAGTAAATATTATTTATTTTAGGTCTCTGTTGGTACAAGTGAAGTTCCAATCAATCCTTGTGAAAATCAACCCCCTCCAAAAGCACCTACTATATCTATACCTAATGAATCTTTCAGTTTAAATAATGGTCATGTAGCAAAAACTTATATGCTTTTACTTAGAGTATATTGTACGTCCAGTACTGGCTGCCTTATGCATAACTGTGATTTAGATGGTTGGTAAAAATATATATATTAAATTATTATATTATTGTCATTTAGAAAATATATTGTTTCATATATTTTTTTATATGTATAATATAATATACATACATATAATATATATATATATATACATATATATATACGCATTATTTTTTTCAATATTAAAAATGTTAAAAATATTTCTTCTTTATATTTAATAATTATATATATATATANCCACGGGTTCAATTAAATCTGGAGGAGAGGAAATAAAATTATATGGTTCTGAACTGATAGTATATGATAAGCACAATCGATGTTTATTAACTGATGGAGATTATGAATTAGGTTTACAAGAAGTACAAACTAATATTCGATCTAGCCCAAAGAAGCATAGCTCTTGGGAGTCTGTACCTGACATCAAGGAATGTGGCCCTTTTGAAGTATTTAGCAAAGGTCCAACGTTAAAATTTAGACTTAATTGGACAACTGAACCAAGCAATGGTTTAGTTGATAGACCAGCTCCAATTCATCCATTACCAAATGGTGATAATAAGGAAAATCGATCAGGAAATAGTAAGTTATTTATGAAAATATATAATATATGACAAGCTGATTTCTTCAGAATAAAAAAACAGAAATTAATATATACAATTAGAAAACATATAGAATTAGAAAACAGCCTGTTATATTTTATGTTTTATTTCATATTTTTCTTCACAAAATATATATATATATACAAATACATAAATAAAATTTTAAGAAGTTATAAATTAATATTATAATTTCAGCTGGTCTAGAACGTTCTTCCACAAATAATAATAATAACAATAATAATAATAATAATAATAATAATAATAATAATAATAATAACAAT